CCCAGTGGGGGCGGGTGCAGGAGGCAGCTGATCGATGTTTCTCTCATCGATGTTTCTAGCTTTCTATCCTTCTCTCTTCCTCTCTGTAAAATATATTTAAAAAAAAAAGAAGAAGAAGAAGAAGAACATGGAGGTGAGAGGGACCTTCGACATCACCGCTTGGAGCCCAGCTCTTGCTAGATGAGAGGTGGAGACCCGCAGAGACGGGTTAGCACTGCTCTCTCCTTGAATCTTAGCTGGTGACTCTCAGGCCACCCTTGCCGGCTCGTTGGGCTCTTGGCATTTGCCCAGGATCTCGTGATGGAGCAAGCTTTCCGTAAGAGGAAGACACCAGTGAGTGCCTGTCCCACAGCCACCCCACTCCTTACAACTTAAGGAATAAATGAACCTATGTTTATGAGCACTTGCCATGTACCAGTGCACCCCGCACTCCGCGGCAGATTCTCAGGGAGGTTGGTAGTGTCCAGTCCTAAGGGGTGAGCGTTGAACTCCCAGGCCAGTCTCGGTGGCCTATGAGACTTGCTGTGGGACTGGTCAGCCGTGGAGAGGGGAGGTAATTGCAGCCAGGGAGGCTCAAGGCGTGGTCTCCTCACAAGGGGGACCGAGAGCACTGTCCCTTCCTCTGGACGCGCCATCTGTGTGATGCGTGTGGCAGCCCCTTGGGGCTGTGAGGAGGGGGAGCCTGAGCCGAGCCCTGTGGCGGTGAGAAAGGGGATGGGGACGGGGGAGGCCACAGAGCCTGGTTGTTAGCCAGTCCTGGAGAGGCCCTCCTGGGGGCTCCTGGCAGGAGGTGTGCGGTCCTCGCTGCGTATTTGCTTGCTTCAGTTGTCCTACCTGCTCTGCTGGAGCAGTCCAGCGGCCATGCTCTATTACAGGGCCTGTGAGGGAGCCGTGGGCACAGCCCTTCCGGCAGAAACCTGGAGAAGTTTTTACACGTCTGCCTGAGAGTTCCTATCCCAGGAACACACCGGCCTGGTTTCAACAGCCCACAAGTCACAGCTGGAGCTGCTGTGGCCACAAGTCTGCCCCTCAGATGCCGTAATTTGGTTTCCACAGACCTCCCTGCGCTCCTCATCCTGAAGTCTTGTGTTCCCTGGTGAGATGCAGAGTGAACACCACAGGCGGCTGGCATCAGAGGCTTACTCCATTTGCTTAAACACGGGAGAGCGATGGAATCGGTCTGCTCAGACAGACCGTGGGCTGCGAGGAGGGTTTCAGAGGCCAACATGATGGTGGCCGACTGCGACCCGTGCTGCCTCTCTCTGAGCCCCTCCCCTCCCCTGGGAGGGCCCTTGCACCTGCTCAGTGTCATCGCTGTCTGGGGCCCTGCACTGAAGCCAGGCTTATGGGAATGGAAGGATTTCTGTGAAGTATTGGAAAGCTCACGTGCCGTGTGGTCTTAGACGCCTATGGGTACTTATCCAGCCCCACACGGCCCTTGGCGGGCAGGACACCTAGCCTGCGAGCCCCGGGATTTGGCACTGAGGTTCCAGATCCTTCCTCTCACCGTCTGTGTTCGGACTTGGCCTGGGCCAGCTCCTCAGGGATGGATGCGTCCCTGCAGCCGAAGGCAGGGGCACAGCAGCGGGTCCTGGGGATAAAGCCAGGACTCCCCAAAGGGTGGTGGGCCCTGACCACTAACAAAGCAGCAAGACGTCCCCCGACATCAAAATACAGAAATTAAATAACCATCCGAGAGGGAACGGGGCTAAATCATAGCACATGAAACTGAGGGTACATTTTTTTAAAATATATTTATTGATTACAGAGAGAGGAAGAGAGAGGGATAGAGAGATAGAAATATCGATGAGAGAGAATCATCAATCAGCTGCCTCTTGCACACCCCCTATTGAGAATGTGCCCACAACCAACGTACATGCCCTTGACCAGAATGGAACCAGGGACCTTTCAGTCCGCAGGCCGACGCTCTATCCACTGAGCCAAACCGGTTTCGGCTAAACTGAGGATACATTTAAAGAAACAGTCTCTGAAAGGAAAAGTGTTAAAATTGGGAGAGCACAGAGGAGCTGAGATCCCCTTAAATATTCTTTTATTGGCAAAGAGAAAGTGTAACCTTTTTGAAAGGTTAAATGCTTTTTCTAAAAAGCCCATTAAACCAATGGTGGATTTTTTTCCTACTGATTTTTTTACTCAATGATCACATGTGAGCGACTACTATGTCCCAGTACAGTGCTAAGCTGGGCAGCACACAGATGTATTCCATGATCTCATCAATGTTTTCACGTCAGCAGACTCCACCGCCCCCTGTTCCTGGTATGGCAGAGGGCCCAAGAGCACGCATAAACACTGTCCACACCGTGTCATCATGTCAACTATTCTAATGCTATTGTTTCAGGGAAACGTTAGATTTTTTAATTATTTCTTTAATATCTCCGGTACAAAAACACGAGGTTTCTCGGCACACTGAAACGTTAGCTGTTGCAGCCCCGTCTGCCTTCGGGAAGGGCTTTCCCATGCATGTTCTCCCGTCTTCTTGATTTCCTGCCTCTGGAGGGCCCTTTGATGGGTCCTCGCCTGCCGTGTGACCGCACCCGCTCCTCGTCCTCACTGCCCATCCCCGCGCCGCTGCCCCGGGCTCCGTGTGCTGAGATGGGAGCTGTCAGCCCGGCCGGCTGTGCCCGGTGCCTCGGAGTGGCCTTCGCCGCAGTGGGTGCGGGCAGTTCCGCGGTCCCAGGACGGGGCACAGCTCTCGGGGCTCCCGCCCTCACCAGACTCTTCCTGACGACATGCTCTCTGCTCGGACCATTGAACCACGAACTTACCCAATCCTGAGCCTCAGCCCGGGGAGCAAAGCATGGAGAGAAACCTAAAATGCATGGCTCTCCCGCTGTTTTAAAAACAAACAATAGGTATGCCCGTGAGACTGTCCCTGTCGAGGAATTCCCAGTTTGAGAAAGGGAAGCAGGAAAGCGTGAGGCTTTCTGCCGATCTGACAGCCCAGAGGCGGGGTCTCCTCAGGCCTCGGCCTCCTCTGCAGGGCAGGTGGGCACGGCTCATGGGCATCTCCCGGAGATTAAAGAGCCGCTTTCCAGAGGCCAGCCGGGCGCGTTGGGGTGCGAGCCCCCGAGGACTCCACGCGCAGCACCCCCTCACATGCTCTCTGCGTTGGCTCCGGAGCAGGTAGAACGTCCTCGTCAGGGGCCCAGCCTTTGGCGACACAAAGCCAGCCGGCCCGCTCCTTGTCCATCTGGGTTCCCAGGCTTCTGAAGTCGGGCGGGCGCTATCTCTTCCCTCCGCCACGCGTGGCTGCGCTCTGGGGCTTTGGGGGTTGGTGTGGCTGTGTTAGTGGGGGTGTTGGTTTGTGTTTTGGTGTTTCCCCACCCCATTGTTTGTGGGAAGGGTGGTCTTGACAAACGGTTCGCGTGAATCTCAGGGGACGTGCTGGGTCAGAGACCGGTGGTCCCTTTTGTTTGTAATGACTTCATTGAGAGGAGCCATCCCAGCTTCACCAGCAGAAGAGATGGGTTTTCGCTCATAAGGAAGAAAGCCACTTTGCAGCCTTTGATCACTAACCTCCCTTCGAAAGAGCCAGGACTCCCGCTCAACGCCAGCTGCAAACGAGAGGCTGCACCAGTAGTCCCTGCCGCCAGGCCGGGCCCAAGCAGCAGACGCCGCCTGACGTTGAAGGATGTGTCAGGCCGTGGTGTGGCCGTGACACTGGGGGAAATAAAACCTCCAGGCAAGGCTGTGTCCCAGCGCCCTCTCTCCCTGACCTGCAGCTCACAAATGGCTTTTATTTCCAGGTAAATCCTGCAAGACGGTGTTTGTCTTGTCAGGCTCCTGGAAGCCGGGTTCCAATGAGCAATGACCCTTTCACCCTACTCCCCGCGCCCCCACACTGAGGATTTATGCGATTCCGTCCTGGGCAGAGCATTTGTCAGAGCCGTAAGGGGCCGGGAAAATGGTCCCTGGCCTTGCCCAGGCCGACCTGCACCGAGGCCTCCCCCTGCCGCGCCCGGCCGGCCTGGCCCGCGGTCCGTGCCCGCAGTGGGAGGGGCAGCCAGCCTTGTCCCGGGAGAACGTGGTCGCTGCCTCTCTGGGTTGAGCGTTTGACCTGGAAAGAACAGAGTTAGATGTGATTTAATTAGTACAGACTTTGAAAATGTCGAATAGAATGGGAGTACCAAAAACTTTATTCTTGCCTCAAACACTGTTTGGGTGGCTGTGTGTTATTTGAATTTTTGTGGCTAATTAATTACCATTAGAAAATGTCCATGTTCCCGATTCTGCCTGAACATATAACTTGCGTATATAATTTCCTGGCGAATTTCAGCATGAAATGTGAACATGAAGTGTACTTTGAAATGTTATTGCTCTGAGGCAGCCGCTCTCCTGGGGTGTGGAATATATAAAACCGTGTGAGTGATGGATCTCCGGTCCTTCGGTGAAGGGCTCAGAGGAAAATGGCCGTTTACTCAGGGAGCCCGCTCCTGGGGAGAGACAGCGCTCAGTCTGAGGCAGGAGGAGGCGGGGGCAGGGTTATGTAACCGCTGGGCCCCGGTCTGCGCCTCCATAGGGAACCTTCCAGCAGGCCAGGGAAGGACAGAAAGGAACACTGTTCCCTTCCTCAAGGCCCACGTCCTAAAATAAAGCAAACAGACATTTTCAATTTTCACAAAACATTCCAAGCATTTTGGATTTCCTTGCCTCTTTGTAGATGGTTGTGTTTGGGGTGCCCTGGAAAGGCCTTCCCAGAAACAGCAGTGGGATAGAGAGCCGTCTGAACCCCGCGCCTTCCCCCCGAATGGCCATACACATGGCATGCCCGCCTGCCACGGGCACCCACTCCCCGTTTATCGGCACGTACGTAACCACGGGACTGGCAGGATCGACCTTGACGGTCGCTCTGCGCGTGCCAAGTGATGGTGGACACATGTGCGGCCTGTGCCTTCTCGCTCCTCTGGTGGCGGGCAGCTGCGGGGGTGCTGCGTGTTTGCTCACTTGCCTTTCCTTCCCTCTCCCCCGGCCGTGGCCGGCAGCGCCGGGCTCCAGCAGGCCGGCCGCAGAGCCTCGGTGGCCTCCAGCAAGGGCAGCAGCAGCGGCAGCAGCAGCAGCGGCAGCAGCTCGTCCAGCGACTCGGAGAGCAGCTCGGGATCCGACTCCGAGAGCGAGAGCAGCTCCAGCGAGAGCGAGGGCAGCAAGCCCGCCCACTACTCCAGCCCCGAGGTAAGCCTCCCCCCCGACCCACGCCCTGGGCCTCCGTCAGCCTGGACCCGGTCCTCACAGCTGCCCACCTCCGGCTGCGATAGCCACGACCCCTGAGGCCACGGCCCCTCGACAGCCTGTCAGGCTGGTTTGGGCTCATCGTTCTCCCTGCTCTGCCCCCTCCTCGCAGTTCTCTTAGTTGCAGAGCTTTCTTGGGAGAACAGAAGTTGCATCTTTCATCTCCAAAAATCTCTACTTTGATGGGCAGGAATTTCCAAATAGGCTGGGAATGCCGCTGGCTGGAGTGGGTCAGGTCTCCCTAGGGGTCAGCAGGGCAGTAACTAGCCAGGGCCGGTTACTGAATGGGGCGCGTGGCCCCCTGTGACCCACGGAAAGGAGTTATGGATCGGACATGGTAAGACCTGACCTTTTTGCAGTTTGTCACAGATTAGAAGAACAAGAGCTCCAAGTATTAATAAAACTTTCTTAACTATGCTTTCTTTGTGAAAATGTTTTTTAAAAGTTAGCACCAACCTACAAATAATGTAACCTTTTCTAGCTATAAGGAGTATCTACGTGGGAGACCTAGATGCCTCATATAAAAACATAATAAGGTGCCAATAAAAACATTGCTATTTTAGCTTTAACAGGGAAAGGGAAATATTAAACAGTCTTTCAGAGCATGGAGGTTGTTGGGAGAGGGTGAGGGCAAATTCCTCAAGTCCATGGCTCTGTCAGTAGACTTTCATGTCGAAAGAAGGAGTAAAATGGCTGAACGTAGAAAGCAGTGAGCAAGCAGAGAAAACAGGGGCAGAAGCCCTGGGGCAGCTCGGGAAGACAGCCATCCCGGCTACAGGCCAGTGTGCGAGTCCCACCTTCACCCCACTGGGTCCCCTTCACACCACGGAGTCTTCACTTCTTCAAAATAGACTCGCCCAGGCCGTGGTATTTTGTGGAAGAGCCACACTCAAGGAGACAAAGAGCAACATGTGGCTTGAGAGCCGCAGTTTGCTGACCATGGCCCTAGGGCCTAGGCGCTCTGTGCCCAGGGCAGAGTTTACTGGTAAAACCTAGAATACCCATGATTTGCTCTGAACTAATGGTTCGCAGGAAAGACTTCCCATGGTCACTTTCACGTCTGAAACATGTCTGGCAAAGTGGGTGGGAGCGGGTTAGGGGTGGATTAACCAGGTCCAGCGCCAGAGCTCAGCGACACAGGCGGCTGCTCAGTGGGGGAGCTACTCCCCTAGCCAAGCCGTGTGCCCGCAGTGACCGCCGCTGCTGGTACCTGCCTTCCCGCATGGACTCCACGTCCCTTCTCTGGGACGATAGCCTCCCCATACTCCCCTCTTCCCACGGCCCCAGAATGCCAGTCTTACAGAAACTGAGCGCTTTAACACGGCCTCCAGACCGCTCCCCGGTTAACTTCTACGGAATCTCGTGTAAGTATGTATGTACATATGTTTTAATTATAAAAGATATAACACACAAAGGTGTTGGAAATGGGTTCTAATGAAGCGCAGTGCTATCCCTAAATTTTTTCTAATGGGCTTCAAAGTACTGACATTTAAGCGATCTGGGACAGGAATGGGATGCCACCCTGCATCCAGGTGCCAACTGAGCGCTGCCCCACCCGCCACGCCCCTGCCCCTCCCCTCCTCCCGCCCGTCCGCTTTCTGCCCAGACCCCTGGGGGAGTAGGTGAAGGTGAAGCAGCAGGTCTGTAACGAAGGATGTTTCGTTTGTTGCTTTCAGGCTGAGCCCGCGTCTTCTAACAAGTGGCAGCTGGATAAATGGCTGAACAAAGTGAACCCCCACAAGCCGCCCATTCTGGTCCAGAATGAGAGCCACGGCCTGGAGGGCGGCCAGTACTACGCCCCCGGGAAGGACCCGGCCCAGGACTGCGGGAAGCTCCCCGAGGGGTGCCAGGCCGGCCTGAGGGAGAAGGACGCCAAGAGCGCCTGCAAGGAAGAGCAGAGGCCGAGGACAGCCAACAAGGCCCCGGGGACCAAGGGGGTGAAGCAGAAGTCCCCGCCCGCGGCCGTGGCCGTGGCCGTGGCGGTGACCGCAGCCGCCCCGCCGCCGCCGGCCCCTGGGGCGCCCCCGGAGCCGCCCGCCCCCACGCGGAGGTCTGCGGGCAAGAAGCCCCCCAGGCGCACCGAGCGCGCCTCCGCCGGGGAGCCCGCCAGCTGCCAGCGGCCGGAGGAGCCCGCGGACGCACTGGGGGCGCCCGCAGCCATCCCCCCCGTCCCTCCGGAGCCCCCCAAAGCCAGGCCCTGCGCCAGCAGCCGGACCGGCCACCGCAAGGAGCTGCGCGCCGCCGCCTCCTCCGTCCCCTGCGAGAAGCGCCGCACGCGGGGGCTGAGCAGGATCGTCCCCAAGTCCAAGGAGTTCATCGAGACAGAGTCCTCATCGTCCTCCTCCTCCTCGGACTCGGACCTGGAGTCGGAGCAGGAGGAGTACCCTCTGGCCAAAGCGCAGGCCGCGGCCGCCGCCCCTGCCAGTGACCAGCGGCTCAAGGAGGCGGCCGGCGGCGGCGGGCCCCGCGCCCCCGTGGGCTCCATCAACGCCAGGACCACCAGCGACATCGCCAAGGAGCTGGAGGAGCAGTTCTACACGCTGGTCCCCTTCGGCCGCAACGAGCTCCTGTCCCCGCTGAAGGACAGTGACGAGGTCAGGTCTCTCTGGGTCAAAATCGACCTGACGCTCCTGTCCAGGGTCCCAGAGCACCTGCCCCAGGAGCCCGGGGCCCTGGGCGCGCCCGCGGCCAAGGAGGCAGAGAGCGCACCTCCCAGCCACCCGGCTGACACCCCCGTAGAGAAGGCTTTGCCCAAATCCAAGAGGAAACGCAAGGTAGGCATGGGCTGCGGGCTGGGGGAGGAGGGCTGCGGGGCTGGGGGAGGAGGGCCGCGGGGCTGGGGGAGGAGGGCCGCGGGGCTGGGGGAGGAGGGCCGCGGGGCTGGGGGAGGAGGGCCGCGGGCTGGGGGAGGAGGGCCGCGGGGCTGGGGACTCGGGGAGGAGGGCTGCGGGCTGGGGGAGGAGGGCTGCGGGGCTGGGGGAGGAGGGCTGCAGGGCTGCGGGCTGGGGGAGGAGAGCTGTGGGGCTAGGGGAGGAGGGCTGTGGGCTGGGGAGGAGGGCTGCGGGGTGGGGGAGGAGGGCTGCGGGGCTGAGGGAGGAGGGCTGCGGGGCTGGGGGAGGAGGGCTGTGGGCTGGGGAGGAGGGCTGCGGGGTGGGGGAGGAGGGCTGCGGGGCTGAGGGAGGAGGGCTGCGGGGCTGGGGGAGGACTTTGGGGAGGAGGGTTGCTGGCTGGGGGAGGAGGGCTGTGGGGCTGGGGGAGGAGGGCTGCGGGGCTGGGGGAGGAGGGCTACGGGGCTGGGGGAGGAGGGCTGCGGGGCTGGGGGAGGACCTGGGGGAGGAGAGTTGCGGGCTGGGGGAGGAGGGCTGCGGGGCTGGGGGAGGAGGGCTGTGGGCTGGGGGAGGAGGGCTGCGGGCTGGGGGAGGAGGGCTGTGGGCTGGGGGAGGAGGGCTGCGGGCTGGGGGAGGAGGGCTGCGGGGCTGGGGGAGAAGGGCCGCGGGGCTGGGGGAGGAGGGCTGTGGGGCTGGGGGAGGAGGGTTGCTGGCTAGGGGAGGAGGGCTGCGGGGCTGGGGGAGGAGGGCTGCGGGGCTGGGGGAGGAGGGCTGCGGGCTGGGGGAGGAGGGCTGCGGGGCTGGGGGAGGAGGGCTGCGGGGCTGGGGGAGGAGGGCTGCGGGGCTGGGGGAGGAGGGCTGCGGGCTGGGGGAGGAGGGCCGCGGGGCTGGGGGAGGAGGGCTGCGGGGCTGGGGGAGGAGGGCTGCGGGCTGGGGGAGGAGGGCTGCAGGGCTGGGGGAGGAGGGCTGCGGGGCTGGGGGAGGAGGGCTGCGGGTGGGGTGACAGAGCACACGCAGCTGCTGGTCCGGGATGGGAGGCAGCAGCAGTCTCTGTGTCTCACACAGCAGACATTCACACAGCGCTGACACAGGCCCGGCGCTGTTGTAAGTGGCTGGCATACAGTCATCCAGGTAAACCCTCAGCCACCCGGGCAGGAGCACCGCTGTGACCCCCGTGTTACAGCTCTGGTAGCGAAGCCCTGTCCGCTGCGTGTGAAGTCTTTATCAGGTGTGTGCGAGGCGAGCTGGGCCTGTGGAAAGCCAGCCTCGCTGTGAGCCCCATTCTTTGCTGGGAGGGGTGCAGTGGCATCTACAGTGGGCTCACTCACCGACTAAAGAGCCGGCAAACGTAAGGCTGTGACGGGGAAGCCTGAAGAGCAGGGCATGGAGCCAGGCGTGGGAGGACGGCCCTGTGGGAGGAGCACGGCCTCGGCGTGTTGATCGGGAGCTGGGTGGTGGAGCGGGGCAGGGACAGGGCCCTGAGGAGGGGGTTTGAGTGTGGTCCTGTGCCCGCTAAGGACTGGGATTTGCTCTGAGAAATGCATGGCTAGTGATTTTGTTTTTGATCAAACCTCACGGAGTGCAGTGACACAAACCCAGATGGTCTAACCTCCTACTCACCCAGGCCACTGCTCTGGGCTGCCAGCCTGCAGAGCTTGTTACTGTAGAAAACAGCACGACATTAAATCACGCACAAGAGGAAAGAGGCAGGCGGACAGGAGACGTAGGAGGCTGCTGGTAACATAACACGGCGTGCTACTGTAGAGGAAAAAAAATTAATAAGTAGCAGGAATACACAAATAACGATAAAAAGTATAGTAAAAACGCAGATCACTAACATAGTTGTGTGTTACCATTATCAGGTATGTATTGTGGGCTGTGCATATTGTATGTGCTGCACCGTCATACGGCAGGCAGAGCAGCAGCCTGGTTTGCACCGCCTCACGGCAAACACGTGAGTGGTGCCAGGCACTGTGATGTGAGGACAGCTACAGCATCGCTATGCAATAGGAATGTTTCAGCCCATTATGATTTTTAAGAAAAGATTTTAATATGTTTTTATTGATTAGAGAGAGAGGAAGAGAGATAGAAACATTGATCTGCTGCCTCCTGCACGCCCTCTTCTGGGGATCGAACCCACAACCAGGCATGTGCCCTGACCAGGAATCAAACCAGCAACCTCTTGGTGCATGGGGTGAGGCTCCATCCACTGAGCCACACGGGCCAAGCTCCATCACAGTCTTATGGGACCACTATCATGTAGACAGCCCATCATTGATTAAAATGTCATTACGTGGCACATGACTGCGATCAGAGGGTTGGGGATGAAGCAGCTCCAAAAGGGGGGGAAGGGAAACCAGGGAAGCACAGGCACGAGAAAGGCAGTGCAAGGACAGGGAAGCCGGAAACACATCGGGAGGCTCACCCAAATGCATGGTCCAGAGAAACCTGTCCTATTCTGAGGATTCCCAGAACGGAGACTGCATTCCCCTAAGGGTTGCCGGGTTCCTTGGGTTGTGGGAAATGCCCACTGGACTTTCTACCCTCGCCAGGTGGGTCCACCACTGGTGGGCAGTGGGAATCCTTTGCTGGTGGGGTGCGTGCGTGCACCCAGTCACCGGACAGGACTCTGGGCACCAGAGAGTCTAACTCCCCCCTCCCAAGCATGCCAACACCTCCAGGAAGGTCTCAAGTAAATGCCACCATGACAGATCAGGAGACACTGAGAGACAGGAAATGTTTTTTACTTTAGTACTTTCTAATTACTCCTCCTGCTTTAAAAACAATTGCAGTATAATTGATAAAACATTGTATTAGTTTCTAATATACAGTGCAATAATGCTATATTTTTTGTGTATAATATATTGCAAAATGGTCACCACAATAAGGCCAATTAACATCCATCATCATTCATAATTACAGATTTCATTTCTCCTGATGAGAACTTTCAAGTGCTACTCTCCTATCTACGTTCACATATGCAATACAGTATTATCAACTAGTCTCCATGCTGTATGTTACATCCCCTGACTTCTTTATTATGTAAATGGAAGTTTGTACATTTTGATTCCCTTCATGTATTCATCCACTTTCCCCCAAAACCCCCCAGGCCTCTCAACAACCACCAGTCTGTTCTCCAGGTACATAAGCTTGGGGATTTATTTAGGATTTTTTTGTTATTTTGTAGAGTTCACATAGAAGCGAGATTATATAGTATTTATGTTTTTTCTGTCTGATTTATTTCACTTATCATAACATTCATTCATTTTGGCAAGATTTTATTTTCCTTATGGCTGAATAATATTTCATTTTTTGTATCATGTGTATATGTGTGTGAATATACACTGAGTTGCCAGATTATTATGATCTCTGAATGCATAATAATTTGGGCTTGGTACATGAATTCATGCATGGGTGGGGGCCAGCCAGCCTGGCCAGGAGGAAGGGACATGGACATGGGCGGTTGGCCAGCCTGCCTGCTGGTTAAACTCCTAGTCAAGGGGACAATTTGCATATTAGCCTTTTATTATATAGGATATGCACTGAGTGGCCAGATTATTATGCGTTCAGAGATCATAATAATCTGGCCACTCAGTGTATATTATATAGATATTAAATAGATACAATTTTCTTTATCCATTTATCCATTGATGAATATGTAGGTTGTTCCTATATTTTGGCTGTTGTAAATAATGCTGCAGTGAACATGGAATGTACATATCTTTTTAAATTAGTGTTTTCACTTTTTTCAAATGAACACCCAGAAACGGGATAGCTGGATAACATTCTATTTTTAATTTTTTGAGGGACCTCCATACTGTTTTTCATAGTAGCTACACCAATTTCCATTCCCGCCAGCAGTGTGGGAGGGCTCCCTTTTCCCCATGTTCTCGCCAGCACTTGTTGTTTCTTATCATCGCCAGCTAACAGGTGTGAGGTGACATTTCTGTGGTTCTGGTTTGCATTTCCCTGGTCATGAGCAATGATGAGCACCTTTTCATGCATCTGTTGGCCATCTGTATGTCTTCTCTGGAGAAATGTCTATACAAGTCCTCTGCCCATTTTTTAATCAGATAGTTTGTTTTGGGTTTTTTGCTGTTGAGTTCTGTGACTTCCTTATCTATTTGGGTTGTTGGCTCCTTATCAGATATTCTGTATGGTGTGCAAACACTTTCTCCCATTCAGTAGGTTCCCTTCTCATTTTGTTGATGGCTTCCTGGCCTTTGCAGAGTTTTGTAGTTGGATGAAGTCCCACTTGTTTATTTTTGCTTTTGTTGTCAAATAAAAAATAATAATCTTTATGATAAGGATCTTTTCCTGCCTTTTTAACAAGGAGCCCTACATTTTCATTTTGTGCTGAACCAGCAAATTATGTAGTCCTCGCTGCCTCCTGGTGACCTTAGTCTGGTGGCCTTGCCTTCTCCTTATTTCACTTTCTTCCTTTGTAAATGGTGACGCCTACGCAAGGGCACTGTGCGGTCAGACAGTATAATTCAGTAACATGGGTAAGCCCGCTTCTCCCCTCCCCCGCTGTCTTCCTGTTTTCCTCTGGATATCCTGCCCTCCTCTTCACTTTTGGATGACTTAACCACCTGGGGATTGATGGATACATGGATAGAATGATGGAAAGAGAGGGGGCTTGGGTAAGAGAGACACAAAGATATATAAGAAATATACAGAGAGAGAAATTGATAAACATAGATTGGAAATACAGATAGCTGTACAGGCATATGTAGATATAGAGAAGGAGATGTGCAGAAAGACATATGCAAATATGTATAAGTATATATAAATTCCATAATGTTCTGTATTTAAATAATTTTATTATTTATGACCTTTTTAAATTTTAACTTATGAAACTTTATTTATGCCAAGCCTGACACCAAGCTCATAAAATCTGATAAATTATTTTTAAATGCAGACACTGAGAAGGTGAAGAGCATTACTCAGTGCTCTTTACTCAGCATCTGGGTGTTAAGACCCCAGTACTGGGTGCAGGAAATGGGACCCGTAGACCAGGTTGCCGAAGGTGCAGAGTCCAGCTCTGCTGGAGCCCAGAGCCAAGGGCTGGGGATCCTCCGCCGTCCCAGTGGAGCCCTTGGGGTCCTTGTGCGAGAGGCTGTGACAGTCCCAGCCAGAGAGAAAACTGTCTTCTGGACAACACTGCCCAGGGCCCTGCACATGAGACAGGGCACATTTGCATGGCACCCTAAAACACGTCTAATGTCACACGCAACCAAGGAAACATACTTGGATCCAAGTGCTGTTTTACAAAAAGGGGCCTCCAGGGATCTCCGATAGCACAGGAGAGCCATTGTGAACTGGAAGTGAGGCACCAAGAGGTGACAGCCTTTGCTTGAAATGCATAAAAGCCGTGAATTTCAGGAGAAAAGGTCGAGCCAGTCACTGCCCTCGTGGCACTGAGAATGGATTGCTGTGCCCTGTTCCGTTAGCGAGAAATGCCAGGAGAGGTGCCGAGGCTGGGCCAGGGCAGTCTCTGTTGACGGTGGAGCCATTTTCCTCATTCAGTGTGTGTCCTGCGTTTTTTATGGGGATGCAGGGCTTTCCCTCTCGCTGAAGTTTCCGCAGTAAAACTGACCCGTTTCCTCCTCATCTGACGAGGCGCTGGCCGGGAACCCAGACCAGGGCCGGGCGCTTGGACCACATGGCTGCTCAGATGCCTCCCGAGAGGCAGTGAGCGGGTCTCCGAGGCCTTGCTGTGTGTGAGCAAGGTGGCGATGGGAGCTCACGACGATCCTTTAACAGCCGCAGCTGATCGTTTTTGCTTATTTGCCCGCAGTGTGACAACGAGGACGACTACCGGGAGGTCAAGAAGGCCCCAGGAGAGAAGGACAGCTCTTCCCGCCTGGCCACCTCTGCCGGCAACACTGTGTCCTCGAATCCCTGCAACATGAACGTCAGCAGGTGCGTGTCCCTCGGGCAGAGGCGAGCTGGGGGAGGGGGTCTCCGGGGCTGAAGTCGTGTGCCACGCGGGGAGTTGGGTTTTAGGACTGCTCCGGTCTGGGGCTCCAGGCCTGCTCTCCGCAGGTTAACCTGAGGCTCATCCTTCCCCTCAGATGTGCACCTCGGGTCACTCACTGCTCGGGTCACCGCTCGGGTGTGAGAGCTTCCCAGTAACAAAAGGCAGTCACCACTGCCACCCAGCTCTGCGCGCTTCCCTCTGAGAGCTTCATCGCTGATTTCAGTAGCTAAGCTTAGGATGCTAAGCTTATCACGCGAATGGAGAAGCATAAATTTTGAGCTGAATCTCCATACGATGCACCTAAGGCTCTCAGATGTAGACTAAAATCGTGGTGTTAGACAGGCTCTGTGTCTCCAAGGTTAAACGGCCGCCTCGTGGCGCCGCCGCCGGCGTTCCAGACGGACCGCGCTGCGCCGAGTCCGCTCTGTGACAAATGTCTTCCTCGCAAGGCAAGGTCCCCGGTATTCATCACAAGCAGTGGCTTCTCATCAGTCACAGACGCTCTCACCATTTCGAAATAGCACAGCTCGGAACCCACTTTTCCTCTGCGAAGGCTCCTCACTCTCCCTGGCTTCGGACATAGCATCTGTGAGGGGAGATGGATGCCTCGGCACAGCCCATACACCTGTAAGCAGACAGGTTAGGGGAGAGGGAGAGCGGCACTCACACGAGAGGGATGGAGAGCGATGCACGGGAGCGGCCGGCCGCCCTGGGAGGGGCCGGGGCTCCTGACGGTGTCAGCAGGAGGGAGAGCTGCACAGCCACACCGCTGGCCTTGTCCACAGAGCCTGTGCCGAGTGGACAGTACCCCAGAATAACTGGGGGAAAGTTAATGGGGACAGAGTGCTTCCTAATAATCTTTCAAATGGGCGTAGAGTTATATATGTGCTTCTTTGTGCATTAGCATTAGTAACCTTTCTTTTTAAAGTACATATATATTTGTTTCATTGATTTCAGAGAGGAAGGGAGAGGGAGAGAGAGAGAGAAAAACATCAATGATGAGAGAGAGTCCTTGATCAGCTGCCTCCTGCACACGCCCTACTGAGAATCGAGCCTGCAACCCTGGCATATGCCCTCAACAGGAATTGAACCGGGATCTCCTGGTTCATAGGTTGACGCTCAACCACTGAGCCACCCCGGCTAGGATAAGTAACCTTTCCAGCACATCTGTGACTATATGATTTCTAAGTGGTGGTGATTATAAACAGCATGCATTATGCTCCATTTCAGTGAGAGGTTATGGAGAGTGAGAGTGTCACTTCCATCCCAGTTCATGGAGTCCAGGACTCGTAAGCTCTTGCAGTAGAGCCTTTGCGTGGCAGAGCATGAACAGCAGATGAATGATTACTCTGACACGTTTCTGTGAAAGAGAAGCTAAGGGGCTAGTTGGCTTAAGGAGTCAAAAAAGCCTTGATTGCCTGCCTCCTTGGGTTTTTATTGTCACAACAGCTGGAACTGAAATTAACCTTTAGGTACAATCAGCAGGTAAGCATCCTTGAGAAAGCACACGCTTCTACAAAGTCGGGTTTAAGAACTAAACATAGAGATTCTAGCGAAACACCCCAGGGGATCGGACTTGTTTGGAAAAATCAAGGGAGGGGCTGCAGCCTTTGGCAAGGTCCCCCCAGAGGCCCCGTGCTTCTCCACATGCCCGTCTGGTGGCTGCGTGGGAAGCGATGGCCCTGGGCATAGCAATGTGCCTTCAGACTTTCTAGGAAAGGCGGGCTGGGTCCCCCAGTTTGTGCTGACTGCTGTCAGTTATACCCGTGTGATAAGACAACCCCATATGTAAAGCGGTCACCCATCCCAAAAAGGAGATCCAAATGAAGTTTCTTTGGTCAACTTGTCTATATAAACTTATAATGATAAAGAAGAAATAATCATATGTCCATGATAATACAGTGTAATAATCCAGTTTTCCATGAACATTTAAAATCACATATATGGACAATGATAGATTAGATGTGGGACTTTTTTCACTCACATGTCAGGAAACAGTTCTATTCAGACTGTTCACATCCATCTTCACCTCCATCATCACTAGCCCAGCGACTGTGATTGGCCCACGGCAGTTTTCCGGACGTGCCTTCCCCCTGCTAAGCTTTTTGAACCAGAAATGGGTCACCACCAAGTCTATCCCTAACCATGTCTATCTGCATAATCTTGAGACCCTGTCTTTGTCATTTGAGGCTTGTGTTTGCTATTTCTACATGGTCACCACCTACTAAGGCAATTGCTTTTGAAGTGACTTTGCAAGGATAGCCACCATATACAATCATAACTGTGGGATAATGACTGCATTTTGTGAAGTTAATTTACCTTTTCTTTTTTTAACTGACTCTATCAGGGGACTTCTTTCTACAAGCATCCTAAATTGGTTGAGTTTCTTTCAAGCTCATGTGTCTTTTCCCAATTTTTTTCAAATTGAGTAATGGAGAGAGTCCTAACCATAACTCAAGTATAACTTCTCTGATGGTTAATTGTGGGGGAGGGAGTTCCAGACTATAGTTATGGAGGTAAAATCAAGAGCTGGGAATTAGAAAATGTCACTTCTGATGAGTTTTCTGTTCTGTGTTCATTCTGATCAATGCCTGGTTAGCTGGGAAACCTAACAATTAAAAGTTGCTTCTTGCTTTGCAAGTCATTCTGTAATTCTGTTATTCTCCATAAAATAATTAGTATAAGCTCAGCTGTTAGCAAAAGTCCTTTTAGAAATAGGAACAAGTATGGTGTGATTGACTTCTCATTGCTTGCTGCTGACACTTAGTAGGAAAGCAGGACGACGTTGGTTGTGCATTTTGAGATCCCTGGATGAAACATTTGGAAAATGAAAGTCTTATTATTCTTAGTTATTTAACTCCAGAGTTACTCTTCATCCTGTAGGACAAGTAAAGAAACAATGAGTGAAATTTGCTTATTGTTTGTTACGGTCCTAGTGCCATAAAAGTGTTTCCTGGTGTAATAACTCCCCATAAACGTCTCGCTGCCAGCCGGCTCTAAATAGGCGGCTTGGGTCATATATAAGACGTTTGCCTCTCCCTGTGCTGGCTCCTGACATTCCATTACCGTGATTTTCTTCTGCAGCTTGGCAATACCCATCAATAAGAATGAAAAGCTGCTCCGGCCGCCCATCTCACCCCTCTCCGACGCCTCCAAACACAAATACTCCAGCGAGGACTTGTCCTCCGGCAGGGCCGGCAGCGGCCTGTTCCCTTCCACCGCCTCCAGCAAAAAGCTCAAGGCTGAGAACCAGCTGCCGGCTCACGCCGCAGACCTCACGGTACGTCCATGCTCTTTCTATCTGATTGAATGTGAAATGAAGCTGAGCACACCCCGCCACGCCACCTGTCCTAGCCAGGCACTGTCTGGACACACACGTGAGGTTCCAGAAAGGACCCCAGGCTGCTCTGGGAAGGCCTGGCAGGGAGAGCTGCGGAAGGAGAAACTGAGGAGCAGCCTGTGGGGTTCCACTCCCCGTTCTGAAAAGGAACGGCCCAGAGTAATGCTATCCATCACAAGACAAAGGGAATCGGGAGTTTGGGACCAGCCCACCCTTTCCTTTGAAAAGGTTCCTTGTCCCAGGACAGAGCTAAGCCTGGAATGGAAAACCCAGGCCAAAATGTTGGGGTTCCCACTCCAACCTGGGTGACCAGCATAACAGCCAGAATGTGGGACCCCACCACCACCCCTCTTTTGGCAACCTCCTGGGGTGATTCCAGTGCCCTCCCCTCCCATGAGGAGGGAAGGAGGTTGGAGTGCACCATCCATCTAGCTTCATAAATTAGTGGACACGTGGCCTTGGAGCCTGTTTCATTTGCAAACAGCATTAAAAGATTTAAATGAGATGATGTTATCTAAAGAACCCAACCCCTGTGGGCACCTGTGCACCTCACACTACAGGCTAGTTCCTCTTTACTGCCCTCCCGCTGTGGCTCTGGACCGAGCCTCCGCTGGGCTCCATTATTTCATCCCAGATCTCCCCGCTGTATGCTCCCGTCACTGTGCCTATCAAAACCAGCGGGGCTTTGGTTTTTTTTGTTTTGTTTTGTTTTGTTTTTTTAATATATTTTATTGATTTTGTACAGAGAGGAAGGGAGAGAGATAGAGAGTTAGAAACATCGATGAGAGAGAATCATCGATCAGCTGCCTCTTGCACACCCCCTACTGGGGATATCCCCGCAACCAAGGTACATGCCCTTGACCGGAATCGAACCCGGGACCTTTCAGTCCCCAAGCCGACGCTCTATCCATTGAACCAAACCGGTTTCGGCACCAGTGGGGCTTTGTGAGGCTGGGGGCGGTGAGACAGAGCATCTGACTCTGGCAAAGAGATGGGGAGGCAGCACTCAGTGCTTTATCCCATGATTTAATAAGATCAAAGAGTTAGTAGAAGGTCTTACAAAAGCTTAAACCTTGTTGTATCAGGAAATTAAATGCGCCCTCGTTTGGGAACAATTATATTTAATTCTAAACTATAAGAATCTGAGAACACCATATTAGGAAAACCTGAAATAAAAGACTACCAATTCAAATTTAAAAACAAACAAAACTTTTTTTTGCCTCTAGTCTAGATCCTACAAGCAAAAAATTGTATGGTGTGCAGAAATTTTTAAAACAATTAGAAACTTCATTTAGTCATCCATTCCCTGACTAGATGGCTATTGAGCAGGTGCTTACTGGGTGCCAAACACTGTGCCAAGCAGCAGAGACGCAAGGACAACCTAGCAGATTCCATCTGAGCCTGCGGGAAACCTCCCGTCCAGCTGGGGAGAGCGGCCTAGACAGGCCACCCACCCGCAGTGCCACCCACCTGCAGGGAGGAGATGCCCACAGGCTCTTACAGCGAGGAGGCTGACCCACACCCAGAATTGGTCCATCCTGAAAGAAGCATTGGCATGCACTTTTTTATTCTTTTCACTCTATTATTTTTTTAAAATATTTTTTATTGATTTCAGAGAGGAAGGGAGAAACATCAACAAGAGAATCATTGATCAGCTGCCTCCTGCACGCCCTCTACTGGGGATCAAGCCCACAACCTAAGCATGTGCCCTGACCAGGAATCAAACCATGACCTCCTGGTTCATAAGTCGGTGCTCAACCACTGAGCCACACTGGCCGGGCTACCTTCTATTTTAATTACTTTAGAGGAATTGATTTGAATTTCATAACCAAAGGCAGTTGTCTTCTGATCCAAGTGTTATGCACACAATGGATGCCCTATAAATATGTGTATCCCCAGGAGTTAAATTTTTTTAAATTTTTCCACAAGTCAATAGTATTCCTTTTAATGACATATTTTAAATAATTTCTAGTAATTCCCTCTGGCTTTTTCTAATCTTAACAGACAGCGAATAAGAGAGTGTCTGTTTCTAATCTTTTGAGAGGGATTGTGGGTTACAGCTCAGTGGTCAGCAGCGCCCGGTGCTTGTTAGAAATGCTCGCTCTCAGGCTCCGCCCCTGACCCAGGGACCAGGGGCTCTGGAGGTGGGGCCCGCGGTCTGGGCGCTGCTGTGCGCTGACTGAGTCTCATGCAGAGTCAACTTGGAGAACCACACATCTAGCCAGTGGAGGAGAGCAGGGCGAGGGCTTGCCCTGAGCCTCCCTCACAGCAGGGCTGTCACTTGACCTCACTGAACCTCAGTGCCTGCACCAGCCACACCTTCGCTGATGACACTGTTATGAGATGACACTGCACAGCATACAGGGCGGGCAAACGTGGGTTTACAGTGTGGGTGTGCGAAACACGGAGCTTATTCTTGCATTACTATAATCATAACCTGCATGGCTTTCTTTCACAGAACAGCTGTAGACCTACTTTTGCCCACCCTGTATCTGAAACTCCCTTTTGAGAACTGGAATGCACATATTTCTTTTTCTTTTCTTAAACAAAAGCACCACCGATTCTAACGTAGAGTCCGGAACACAGCTGTTCTGTGTGATGGGTTGCTCTTCCAGCCACGAGGCGAGTTTCTCAGAACCGTCGTGTTGTTTGTCGTTTAGAAAGCAGCTCACCACAACTCGGAAAACGTTCTCCACAAGCCACGGCCACAGACGGAGCCGTGGTCCCCGGGCTCCAGCGGCCACCGGGACTGCAAGAGGCAGAAACTCATCTTCGACGACATGTGAGTGTGGATCCGCGGCTGCGGTGAGGGCCAGCAGGACAGGGCGGTCCCACGGGGGGAGGGGCTGTGCATCTGGCCACAGTGGCCATTCCTGATAAGCCTGTCAGGTAAGTGTCCTCTCAAAGGGACATGCAGCTGAACCTGGCTGCAGCCAGGATGTCCGAAAGGAAGGCAGAGGGCATCAAGGAGCCTTTTGTACTCAAGACTGTTGGTGGTTGAATGCTGTGAAAGAGAAGTGTTTTGTTTTGATAAACAGGTAAACCCCTTTCCTCTGAAATGCTGTGTTCTTGCCTAGTCGGTTCGGCTCAGTGGATAAAGCATTGGCCCATGGACTGAAGGGTCCTGGGTTTGAATCTGGTCAAAGGCATGTACCTCGATTGCAGGCCCATTCCCTGGCCCTGATCAGGGGGCATGCGGGAGGCACCCAGTCAATGTGTCTCTCTCACATCTATGTTTTTCTGTGTGTCTCTCCCCTTCCCTTCCATTCTCTCTAAAAGTCAATGGAAAAATATCCTCAAGTGAGGATTGAAAATAAAATAAAATGCTATGTTCTTTACACCAGTATAAAGAGTTCTTATACAGGAAAAATATCCTGTCATCATCACTCCATCCTGCACTAAAACCCAAGTATTACCTCCTTTCCTAGGAGCAATTTGAAAGAGGAGAAACAGGAGAAGTAGATGAATAAAGATAACATCCTGGAATGCTCTTGAGATGCTGAAAGTGACAAATAAGAAATTATGAAAATTACTTCGGCTCTTAGGGAAAAAAATATGTGTCAAGGACAAGCCTGGAAAGCAGAAGAGATGGTTTCAAGAGTTTGGCTTGACGCCTGTTTGCAACCTCAGCTGTGCACTAGGCAGCGGTCCATCTCTGTGTGAGGCACACATTAACCGGGCTGCAGCCGCCCGTGATAACGAGAGATCCGCCCTCAGGCCAGATTGCCTACAATCCTGCCCAGAGGACAGACACTAAACCACTGACCCACCGGAGTCAGAACATTTAAGGGTGCTAAATGTCCCAAGTCCCAGCGTCCTCGTCATAGAAGCGACAGTCTTGACACCTGTCCTCCAAGCACCCCAGAATTTGGGGATAGAAAGCCAAATCTGCATTTGTTGTTAGTCTCATTGACTAATGTTCCAAGGTCATTGGATGTACGAAAAGCTAAGGTGGTCCAGGATGCCCTGCCAGAGCCGCTCAACTGAGCATCATCCTGTGCAGGAAAGATTATTGCAGGTCCAGTTCTCAGTCAGGGCACATACCTGAGTTGCAGGTTTGATCCTTGGTTGGCACATAGAAAAGATAACTAATCAGTGTTTCTCACATCAATATTTTCCCCTCACTTTCTCTCTTTCTCTCTCTCCCTCCTTCCCTTTTTCTCTACTTCTCTCCTCCTTCCTCTCTCGGATGAGAATTTAAAAAAACACAACAGGGTGGCCCAGGAGGACATGTATTTTTCTCCCCTTCCCTTGGCTGCTCTCGCTGTACTCAGCTCCATGCACGCTTCCCTCCTGGCCCTCACAACCTCCTCATCTTCTCCACTGCCCTAAGCAGCAAGGGAGGTAGTCTTCATTAAACAAAAAGTTCCACAGCCCAAAGATGTTATTTTTTTTTAATTTAATTTATTGGCGTGACATTGGTTAGTGAACTCTGAGGTTTCAAGTGTGCATTTCTATAACAGATCATTATGTGTTGTATATTGCGTTATGTGTTCACCACCCAAAGTCAAGTCACCAGATATTTGACTTTCTTTACCCTGTTCTACCTCTTCCCAATGCCCTTCCCCTCTGGTAAACACCATACTATTATCTGTGTGTGTGTGAGTTTTTGTTTGTTGTTTGTTTTCAGTTTTGTATCCCACTCGTGAGTGAAATAATGGTTATTGACTTTTTCTACCTTATTTTGCTTACTATGATATTCTCAAGATTCATCCATGTTGTCGCAAATGACAGTATTTTATCTTCTTATGGCTGAGTCGTATCCCATTGTATATACTATATGTACCACATCTCTTTTATCCAATCATCTATCCAAGGCCACTTCAGTGGTTTCCATGTTTTGGCCACCATGAACAATACTGCAGTGAATATAGGAGTAGATATATATTTATTAATAAATGTTTTCAAATCTTTCAGGTAGATACCCAGAAGAGGGGCTGCTGAGTCATATGGTAACTCTATTCTTAATAGTTTAGGGAACTCCCCTACTGTTGTTCATAGTGGATGTCCATCTACATTCCACCAGCAGTGAATGAGGGGTCCTTTCCTCCACACCCTCTCCAACACGAGTTATTATTTATCTTGTTGACAATAACCGTTCTGACAGGTGTGAGGTGGTTCTCATTGCGGTGTTGACTTGTGTTTCCCTAGTAGCTAGTGAAGTTGAGCATGTTTTTATACACCTGTGGCCACCTGCATGTCCTGAAGAGAAGTGTCTGTTCATTTTTATTGGGTTATTTATTTTTGTTGCTGAATTATATGAGTTCTTTATATATTTTGGATGTTAACCCCTTATAAGAGGTGCTGTTTGCCTTTTTTGTCTTGATTATGGTTTCTTTTGAATTTATAATTTGATGTAGTCACTTTCATTTGTTTTTGCCTTTGGGTCAAATTCATAAAATTTTCACTAAGACCAAAGTCCATAAGTTTAGTACTTATGTGTTTTTCTATGTAACTTATTGTTTCAGGTCTTATACTTTGGTCTTTAACCCATTTTGAGTTTATTTTTTCAGATGGTGATAAATGGCAATCTAGTTTTATTTCTTTGCACGTGGCTTTCCAATTTTCCCAGCATCATTTATTAAAGAGGCTTTCTTCTCTCCATTATAAATTTTGGCTCCTTTATCAAAAATTATATGCCCGTATATATGGGGGTTTATTTCTGGGTTCTCAGTTCTGCTCCATGAGTCTGTTTTTCTGCCGATACCATGCTGTTTTGGTTATTGCTGCTTTGTAAGTCAGGGAGTGTGGCATCTCTGGCTTTGTTCTTTGTTCTCAGGATTGCTTTGGCTATTCGGGGCCTTCTGTGGTTCCATACAAATCTAATGACTTCTTGTTCTGTTTCTTTAAGAATGGCATTGGGATATTGATGTGGGTTGCATTAAAAAGACACAGAGTAGTGAATTGAGTCAAAAACAAAGCCCAACCATGTGCCGCCTCTGGAGACACATCTCAGCTGCAAGGACAAATAAGACTCAAAGTGAAAGGGCAGGAAATGATTCTCCAAGCAAATGACACCCAGAGAAAAGTGGTGTAGCCGTACTTTTACCTGACAAAATAGATCTCAAAATAAAGAAAGTAACAAGAGGCAAAGGTAGACATTTCATAACGACAAAGGGGACAAGCTGCCAAAGCTTTTCTGAAAGGAAGGGGCTGTTGAGCAAATGCTGCCAGAAAGGGACCAGGTCCTGGGGTGTGCGGTCCCACCCGCCAGGAGCAGGGCTGTGGGGAGCAGACACGATCTTCCGTACCCGTTTTGGGAAGAAAGATGTAAGTTGTTTTGAAAGAATGTACATTTGTTACAGAGCGGGGCCAGCAGAGACAGTTGTAGGCTAAGGCTGGGTGCACAGTGTGTAAAGATGATTTACTAATTTTGACTACGAACAGGCAGCAGTCCTGAAAGTTCATGCATATATGGGATGCGGTGGCATCTTAGTTCTCTATAGAAGTTGATACAAAGCTCCAACAACCGTTCAGGAATGTGAGCAGACTATTGTTAGTGGGCCCACGGCTGCTAACTGCTTACTTCACTCTTTTCTCACTCTCTACCGCTGAAATTTAATCGAAGACAATGCAGTATTTTTCTCTTATCATTAATCCCCTAGGTCAGTGTTTCCCAAACTTTTGACAGATGTATACCCCTTCTATAATTTTCGTAACGCTGAGTACCCCTTGTACTCATGAGAACGTAGAATTAGGTGCAGCTAAGCACGGTGCAGTGCATACCCCCACCAAACTCCGGTGCAACGAGTACCCCCACCAAACTCTTCCTGTGCCCCTAGGGGTACGCATTCCACACTTTGGGAAACACTGCCCTAGGTGGTGGACATGTAATGTGAATACAATCAGTTGGTCACATATAATTAGGGTTCATTGTTCGCAAGAGCTTTAACCATTTGTAAAAATGGGAGATTAGAATTGTGGTTAATTACCACATGGAAATTTGCATTTGGAAGTCATAATCTAACAACAGGACCAAACACTGAGACACCCAAATCATCAAACATTTCCAGCAGATAATGTTCAGGGTATGGTATTCTCTCTCTCTCTCTCTCTCTCTCTCTCTCTTTCTCTCTCTCTCTCCCTCTCTCTCTCTCTCCCTCTCTCTCTCTCTCCCTCTCTCTCTCTCTCCCTCTCTCTCTCTCTCTCTCTCTCTCTCTCTCTCTCTCTCCCCCTCTCCCCCCCCTCTCTCTTTCACACACACACACACACACACACACACACACACACGGGAAATGAAAATGTAAGGAATTCTCCAATGCATGGGCCAGAAAGCTAAGTCAGACACAGCAACAACAAAGTAACTGTACTTGGATCTGCAGTTTCTTGAGCCATTTATACAAAGAAATGTTTCTGTCTATTGGGGCTGCCACTACTATAATTTTGTCACCACGTATATCAGCTACGAGGTGTTGCATGGCTATTCCTATTAGCAATATGTCTAATTTTTCCGGCTGACAGCCACAATAAAACTGTTTCTCCTTTTATGGAGATAGATATAATAGAATAAAAAAAGCAGACTTACATATCCATCACTGGGAGAGAGAGATGTCGTGTTCCAATCGCCCTGTGTCCCAGTTGATTCGAAACGCATAGCAGTGAAATAAACATGCACCTCAATCAGCCACCCACCACTGAACTAAGAAAGCCCTGGGCAGATTTGTCAAGCTTGAAAAGTAGACATAAGCAGTGTCTCCCTTGAAGCTGTAAGAGATTGTCTCTTAACGGATCACTGGGCGAGAGAGTCACCGAAGCCTGCAAATGTCTCCCAGGTCCCATGGG